GACATATTTTTAACCCTGGAGCACTGTGGGTCGCAGGACATCACGGTGGCTGACAGTGATGCCTGGAAAGGCACCTCTGGTGAGTATACAGTTAAAATGAAAGTCCAGTTAAACTTTAATGGGCACACACATTTGGTGGAATTGCATGTTTAGTATGAAGAAAAAGCGAGGAACTGTGGTTCTCTGCTTACAAGAGGCCGCTCCAGCTACGCAGAGGGTGGCCCCCGGAAAAGACTGTGCTCAGCATGGGTCGGCAAGTAGTTTAAAGTGACTGATAGGAACTGGTGCCCCACATGAGAGATTCCACAATTTGGGAGTGAAAATGTTCCCCCCCCCATCCCGTTCGTAAACAGCTTCCCTGGTGCTATGGGGAAGGGCCATTATTCAACTAGCTCCCTGTGCTCCTGACCCGAGCCTGCCATAAACTTCATTAAAAGTGTCGTCACCCAGGACCTGCGGGGGGGGGGGGGGGCTACTCACCATGACTGGAGCAGCAAAATGGTACAGTGAACAGTTACGGATTCTGATTATGTTATGGCTTGCACCTAGTGTAATAAGGGGTGTTTTTTTTCTGAAAACGGCCTTGCTATGGAAACATTTTATTCATGTACAATGGCTCCTTTATTTTTTCCCCTGACTGACAGCTGGAAATGTGTCCTTCGGCGGGTCATCAACATCTGAAAGCAGACTTTCAATGATTAGAAGGAAGAGAAAGAGAACACGGAAAGACATGTTCACCAAGATAATGAACACATCTGGGACAATTGATGCAGAGCTGAGAGCGTGGAGGTTTTCACTGTCTGAGAAGTTAGACATGGACAGCAGAAAAGCTTCCAGTGAACGAGAGCGTGTCGCGCAGGATGAGATGCTTTGGATTATGAGGGACCAAGCAGACATGTTGAGGCGTCTGGTTGAACTGCAGGAATAGAAGCAGGAGGGGAGAGTCCCTCTGCAGACCCTGATGGACAGCCAGCCAGCCAGCATCGCCTGGCGCAGAGAAGCGTGGGTGAAAAGTCCATTATCCCTTTCGCTTAACTCAGGTTGGGGAGGGTACAAGGAACAGAAAGTGCCCATTCACAGACCTTTGATGGTCTGGAATGCGGTGTTATGTTACACAGTGAAAATGTTTTTCCCGTTCCAACTTTACAACACCTTTTCCCCAAGGTTACCTTTTCTTTCTGTTCTCCCTCTTATGTTTGTTAAATAAAGTAAATGGATTTGAGAAATAAATGTTCTTTATTGCAGTGGTTTTCAAACTTTTTTTCTGGTGACCCAGTTGAAGAAAATTGTTGATGCCCGCGACCCCACGGAGCTGGGGATGAGGGGTTTGGAGTGTGGGAGAGGCTCAGGACTGGGGCATAGGTTTGGGGTGTGGGGGTGAAGGCTGCAGAGTGGGGCCAGGAATGAGGGGTTCAGGGTGTGGGAGGGGGCTCTGGGCCAGTGCAGGAGGGGTTCAGGGCTGTGGGTGCAGGCTCTGGGGTGGGGCCGGGGATGAAGGGTTTGGGGTGCAGGAGGGTTCTCAGGGCTGGGGCAATGGATGGGGGGGGGGGCGGGAGGGAGGTCCTGGTTCAGGGCTGGGGGTGCAGGCTCTGGGGTGGGGCTGAAGCAGGGGATTGGGGTGCAGGCTTACCTCCGGCAGCTCCCGGACAGCAGCACAGCCCGGGTGCAGAGGCAAGATTCCCGCCTGTCCTGACACTGTGGACTGTGTTGTGCCCTGGAACAGCCAGCAGCAGGTCCAGCTCCTAGGCAGAGGTGCACAAGCAGCTCTGCATGGCGCTCACCCACAGGCACTGCCCCCCAGATCCCATTGGCCAGGAACCGGCTAATGGGAGTGCAGAGCCAGTGCTCGGGGCAGGGGCAACGCGCGGAGCCCCATGGCCCCCCCCCACCTAGGAGCCGGACCTGCTGCTGGCCGCTTCCGGGGCACATTGTTGGAACAGGTAGGGACTAGCCTTCCTTAGCTGGGCAGCACCACCACCAGGACTTTTAACAGCCCAGTGGGCGGTGCTGACCAGAGCCGCCGCGAGCCAGTGCCTTACATTCCTTGACCCAGTAATGGGTTGCAACCCACAGTTTGAAAACCACTGCTTTATTGAGTAGAAGCAGTGGGCTTGGGTAGGGGGTTGGCTTTACAGGGACAGAGATATAAGCCAGGTGAAGGTTTGGGAAAGCACAATGCATACAAGCAGCTCACATTACTGTGACTCATTACTGAAATTGCTTTTCAAAGCCTCACAGATACACAGCACCCTTTGCTCTGCTCTTCTTATTGCCCTGGTGTCTGGTTCTCAAAAGTGGCTGCCATGCGATCTGTCTCAACTGCCCACCCCGTGGAAAAATTTCCCTTTTTTTCACAGATATTATGGAGCACACCGCAGGCAGCTATAACCATGGGGAGGTTCTCCTCATTAAGGTCCAATCTTGTTAATAGATTTCTCCAGCGCCCTTTCAAATGACCAAAGGCACATTCAACCATCATTCTGCACTTGCTGAGCCTATAGTTGAAGCGTTCCTTACTGCTGTCCAGACGGCCGGTGTATGGCTTCATGAGTCATGGAAGCAAGGGGTCGGCTGGGTCCCCCAGGATAACTATAGACATCTCAACGTCGTCAATGTTAATTTTGTGGTCTGGAAAAAAGTCCTGGATTGCAGCTTTTTGAACAGACACAAGTTTTAAAGATGTGTGCATCATGAACCTTTCCCGAACATTTTACGTTGATGTCAGTGAAATGCCCCCTGTGATCCACAAGCGCTTGCAACACCATTGAAAAGTATCCCTTTCGGTTTATGTACTCTTTGGAAAGGTGGTCTGGTGCCAAGATGGGGATATGCGTGCCATCTATCGCCCCACAGCAATTACGGAACCCCATCACAGAAAAACCATCCACTATGTCCTGCACATTTCCCAGACTCACTACCTTTAGTAGAGAAGTCAATTAATGGCCCTGCACACTTGGAGCACAGCAGATCCCACGGTTGATTTACCTACTCCAAATTGATTCCCCACTGACTGGTAACTGTCTGGCCTTGCAAGCTTCCAAATAGTGATCACCACTCGTTTTTCCACTGTCAGAGCAGCTCTCATTTTTGTGTTGCTGAACTGCAGGGCAGGGGAAAGCTCTGCACAAAGTTCCTGGAAGGTAGTCTTCTGCAGTCAAAAGTTCTGCAGTCACTGCTCATCATCCCATACCTGCAAAACGATGCGGTCCCACCAGTCAGTGCTTGTTTCATGGGACCAGAAATGGTGCTCAACAAAGTGCAGCTGCTCTGTGACTGCCATCAGAAACTGTGAATTGTTTTTTTCCATGGCTTGCAGCAGGGCTGCTTGTAGGACTTCGTTATGTTCCATGCGGCGGATCCTACTTTGGCTCTGGAAATACCGCAGGAGAAGGCGCGAGGTGTTTGAGATGCTCACAGCAAGAGTGCACAGCTGAGCAGGCTCCATGCTTCTGAGGTTATGGCATATCTGCGGCAGTTTTAAGGCGTGAAAACCACTGAGTTGTTTGCCATTGATGTGAGGGAGGGAGCACAGTGCATCATGGGATGCCAACACAATGTTCCCATTCTCCCCTGAGACTATGTTTTGGGCCTGTGAGGCATTGCACAAACTTCCCAAAACACACTGCGGCAAGTTGCACTTTGGGATAGCTACCCACAATGCACTGCTTTGTGCATTGATGCAGGTGCTCCTAGTGAGGACACACTCCATCGAGACAGTGAGCATGGTGTGGTCATGCACAATCGACTTCATTAATTCGGGGGCTCGAGGTCGAATTAGATAAAGTCGACTTAATTTTGTAGTGTAGACAGCCCAAACTTGCAGCCGTATTTATAAGAGATGATATAGAACTCAATCATGTCGTGTCTGTAACATAGTTCACCAGTCATAGGTGCTGGAATCTAAAGCTAATACCTAAATGTTGTTTCCCTGCTCAATAATATGATTATTGTTGAACCACCAGTGCAGGCATAAATTCATATAGGAGTAAATCCTGTGGCCAGTGTAAAAGCTGCGGAAGACTCTGAACAAACTAAACTGATGTGGTTCTACAATGTGTATGAGGGCAGAATAGAGTGAGGTTGTGTGCGACTTACAAGCCATGGAGCACAATACTACAAGGGCTCTGTGTACACCAGTGCATAAAGTGTTTAGGAAGCAGGAGGGAAGATGTGCAGCTGCTTGATCCGCTGGCTAAACTCATGTGATGAGATTTTCAAAGGCGGAAATGATGGTTAGATACCCAACTGCCATGACTTTCAATAGGAATTGGACACCCAACTATCATTCAGACCTTTGAAAATCAAAGATAAAAATGTATTTTCATTACTTTGTGAATTTTAGAAATGTTAATTAATGCTAATCTTAATATTATTTCAGTACAAAGAACTGGAACACGCCGCTTATCTTTGACCTGAAAGAAGGAACGGTTAGTTTAATTCTACAAGCAGAAAGGTAGTTTGTTTATTATAATGTACAAGACTAGTTTTTTGTTAAAATGTACGTTTGTAAAACTCTGTGAGTGGGTGGGTGTTTCTCAAATACTAGTAACAAAATAAAATATACAGTATTGGTAGGTAGTGGATGGAGTCACATTGTGTGACTAAAAGGTCATGTTGTTATATAGTATCTATGATATGATTGCAGAACTGAATTGCTTCATACATTACATTTGCAGTGTATCATTATACTTATCTTTTATTTACAATGGAAAGTAAATAATCTTCAGCTGTTACACTAACATCTGTTTTTGATCTTTTATATTTGTTTGTTTAAATGGAACATATTATATAGAAATAATCATTACTACAAGCTGGTCCTCTACTTATTAATAAAATGGTCAACTGTGCTGAATAAAAGTAAAATGGAATTTTACATTTTCACTAATAGTACTTATATGTAATATTTATACATGCATGAAGTGGCAGTATTTCCTCCATTTTAAATGTTTATGTGGTTACCAACTGAAAATCATTTACCAAAAAGACCTTTTTTTTGTGTGTAGCTCTGCTGAGAGTCAGCATTGTTTTGTAGAATAAGACTGGGAATCAGGAACTCCTGAGTTCTAATTTTAGTCTTGCCTCTAATTTGCTGTATGGCCTTGGACAGATAACTTAAGCCCAAATTTTCAAAAGTATACATTATTTTTGAGTGCCCAATTTTAAACACTTGGGATCTGATTTTCAGAGGTATTGTGCTCCTACAACTAGTTAAATGAGCTATATTGTTTGCAGGCATTTTCTTCTTATAGATGGTGGAGGGATCTATTTATATTCCTATGAAGGACGATTAATTTCATCTCCAAAATTTCCAGGAATGAGGACAGATGTATTAAATGCCCAAACTGTATCTTTGAGTAATGATACTCTTGCAATAAAAGACAAAGCTGATGAAAAAGGTATGTTTACAGTTTAACGTTTTCACTTTGGCTAGCAAGTTACTTGCAAAGTGTTAAAAAGCCGATAATTACATGTGCATTTGATATCTTTCATTCATACGTAGCACATTCATGAGTTAAAAATTAGGCCTGAAACAACACTTTTTCATATTAATTTTGATTTTTGTTTTTGAAGTACTACTAATTTTTCAGTAGTTGCCTACAGGACAGTATTTTTGTAATGGGGAAAAGGCATGTTTCTTCCACAACCTTCCACTCTCCAGTTATAGGCAATGCCATGTGTGACGGGTTCCCCCTGGGGTGCCACCTGGAACTGGGGTACTACTGAGCCTTCTGACCCACCAGCCTGGACTTCCTCTCATACTGTGCTGGTGTGACAAGCTGCAAAGCCCCCCAAACTTGCACTTTCACCAGCATTTACACAGGTAGGGATACACCCAGCTGCAGTTACATGCAGGGCTCTCTAACCACCAGCTTCCCAGCCTAGGACCCCAGAGCAGTACCATCCTGGCCTGGTCAAATCTGGTAAGTATATGGGTTTAATACCCAGTCCACCTCTCCCTCAATGTGAAGAGGACCATACACACTTGTGGTAACCAAGCTGAGATTTTCACCAGACACCTTAGTCAAACACACATTGGTTTGGATTAAAAAATGAAATAAGTTTATTAACTACAAAAAGATAGATTTTAAGTGATTATAAGTGATAGCAAATAGATCAAAGCAGATTACCTAGTAAATAAACAGCAAACTGAGCTTAACATACTAGATAGATAGGATGTGAATTAGCAGATTCTCACCCTGAGTGATAAACAGGCTGACAGATTCTTAAGGCAAAAGCTGCCTTTGCTGTGCAGCTTGGGTTTCCCAGGTTTTCATACACAGGCTAGAACTCCCTTTAGCCTGGGACCATCACTTCCCCCAGTTCAGTCTTTGTTCCTCAAGTGTTTCCAGATGTGTTGTTGTAGGGAGAGTGAGGTACCATCATGATGTCATTTCCCCCTTTTATATCTTCTTCCCACTTGCAAGAAAGCTCTTTTTTCTGTAACCTGAGTCAAACAGTTCCCATTGTATAGTGCTATCTCTGAGAGATTTTCTATTGTACACTGTTCCTGGGGTAATCTTTGTGCTTGTGTGCATTTCCTCAATAAGCCATTAACATTGTTTGGCCTTTTTATTATTGTACCTGAAAGGCTGCTTGTGGGTGTTTTCAACCTCACAAAATGTTTCAGTAACACATACATAGCCTAACTTCATATATGATGATAGTACATACTATCCAATGAGATATTAATGTCTAGTAGATCAACACTTTTAGACTGATCCCTCACAAGGCATACTTTGTGCAACACATATCCTAATTATATGACAGTGGTGAATAAGGGGGTACCAGGGTGTCACACCATGGAAAAACCAGGAGTCATTTGCAGTGAAAATTTCAATCATTTCTCACTCTCACACATGGTTCACTATAGAAATACTGATGTGGTTACTGTTTTCCCTATCTGCTTACTGATCTCAGGAGCCAGCAGTGCATTAATTGTGATGGATTGTAGCCTTCAGATATTCTTTGTTTTGGTCAACTATTTTTCAGCAATGTTAGTTTTATGTGCAGCTTTTATGGGGTTGTGACTCAGTAGTGTTTCAGAGAAATATTTGTTTATAATTGTTTACAATCTTTTACCGGTGGTGTTTTAATTTCTAACACTGTCACAAAATCTTTCTCTCTCTCCAAATGAGCAAACATAAAGTTCAGGCATCTTTTTTGTGTTAAAGATTTTGAGGAGTTCTGCCTCCTGATTCCCCCTTTCGTTTAACCACAGAAGGGACTGTGTAGTTGTCTCTTCACCTATTGAATTTTTTTTAGTCTGCTTGATAAGGAATCAAGAATACTGATTCAGAGGGCAGAGTATTTTTTCTATAGTTATTCATGAGTCATTGGCAGCAACTATGTGTTGTATTCAATGTGTTTTGTAGCAAAAAAATTCTACTTTTTTATTTTCTAGAGATTAACAATCCTTATTTTCTTCTACCAAGGAGATCTAGAACTAAAAGTGCCTACGGACTGTATTTAGGACCACAGACTGCTGAGATATTTTAATTATACCAGATAATTTCTTCCATAGTTCTCTCCTCTGATCTAGAATTACCATTTCTAAGAGGGACAGAATAGTTCAGTCTTTGAATCTATTCCTTCCTTTGTCTCCCTGCATACTTCCTATAAAAGTGGAATCGTGGAGATGTTTTTGTTTGCTTTGCTTTGTTCTGTAGATGCTTGCCCACTAAGAACCAGCCTTAACACCACGTCATATCACATAGATCACAGAACAACTAGCATATGGAAATGGCTTTTACTGTCCTCCTCCTCTATGTTTTCCAGTAAATAGATCTCATAGATGGCATCCCTTTTTATAATTAGGTTCTATGAATAGTGTTATATACTACAGAACTGTCTTGGTCCTATGATACCAATTTCAGAATTGTACAGGACTAATGGGAGCAATAAAATTCTGGACTCCATTTTGGATTTGCTTCTCTAAGAAACAAGTCCAAGTAGTCACTTCTTAAAAGTTTGAAAGCTCTGACTTTTGCTATTAATATGAATTTGAGCATTGCCTATGTTCAAACCTGCATTTCCATTTGAAAACAAAGGTTTTTAAACTTCTCATAGCCACTGTACGAACTTGCTCCTCAGGGCAAGTCCAACATGGAAGCTTCAAGTGTATCCCTGTAGCCACTTGTGAAAGTAAAAGCACTTCATTTTTGTTGGAGCAAGAGTAGTCCTAATTATACTCTCTCGCTAAAATGCTCACCTCACTAGCTGGGGTGCAGTTTTGATGTGTCCAGAGGGACAAAAGGGGGGCACCCGTCTTCCCTTTTTTTGCAGGTGGGATAGGGAAAAGAGGGAAATTCTCAAGCAGGAGCAGCTGGGGCAGTGCTACATACACTCCTCCTGGTTCTCTCTCTCTCTAGCATGTGTCTCGTTCTTTCCCCCCCTTCATCCTCTAAAGGTAGGGGACTATCCCACATGGGATTCAAATGATGGAGCCTGGACCCACCTACTCCCACTGTCATTGCATAGTGGAGCTACAAGAGGCTGGATGAGTGGCTCCTCCCAGCTGGGGGAAGTGAGTGGGTGGTGCTTCAACTTGCTCTTACTGTTTTGAGTAGACATTTTGAGCTCCATTTGCTGCATTGGCGAGTCACTGGTTTGACTCTAGTCCAACCCCATACTTACCCACACTTATGTAGTGAGCTAGACCTCTTATGATGTTCAGGGTTAGACTGATCACTAAACTTTGTTTGGGGTCCAGAAGTGATTTTTCCCATATGGCAAAGTTTACAAAGTACTATGAGGGTTTTTTACCTTCTATCTGTGATCCAATTTTGGAGTTTTAAATTACATTGTTGTGACTTTGGCAGGTTCCAGTGCAGTTGATGGTTTTAAAGTGTCTGACATGAAGTCCCTCTAACCCAATGTGCTGTTTAGGCATGGTCCTCAGACTTGCCTCAGACTTCCCCTTAGGTTTGTATAACCCAGGGCCGTTGGTGCCCAGCTGAAGTCCACGCTAGAAAAGCCTTGCCAGGAAGATGGGGAGAATGGTCCCCATTGGTCAAGGGTTTTAATAAAGTTGCAGCTTCAATGGTTAACCATACTAGAGCATACATGTCTCATTGTTTCTGTCTTCACATCAGCATAACATTTAAATATTTTAAAAGGAGCCAGAGGTTGATGTGGCATGAGTGTATGGCTATCAAAATGCAAAATCTGACAGTTCCAGGCATATTTAAAGGGACAGCACTGCATATGTGACTCATTGGTTGCTAAAGGTTCTGTTCAATAATGTAGTCCTTTCAACCTTATTCACATGTATCAGACAGTTCTAGCAGCTATCACTTATCCAAAAAAGTGAAATCTGAGCTTCTTTTATTTCAGAGTCTGACAGTTATTAGGATGGGTTTGGGTTAGAGAAGCATATCACCTTTCTTCTTATAGACTATTTCATAGACACTGCAAACATGGTCCATCTCTTTCATCACAATCTATCAGTCCCGTTACATTTACTGTATGCTTCAGCTTAACAAACTTGATGTCTGCATGTCTTTGTTATTTTTTCTGTTCTGTGATCTTGCTGACAAATGCGTCATTGATAGCTTGTAGTATTCACTGGAATATTCACAGAGTTATGACATTTGGACTTAACAGGTGTTTCATTTATAGGGCATATAGGTATTCTGATACTTTAAAGGAGATTTATCTAGTTGCAGTCGTCTCTTGTCATTACTTCATGGCAAAGTTGTGCTCGACTATACCTACAGTTTCACAAGAGCGTCTTTTCTAAAACAAGCCATTGAATTGTCAAAATGGACAGTCAAGAAAGTGCTCTTGCTTTTTAATTAGCATGGTTAGAAAATTCCCTGCCAGCAATCTCAACTGCCATTACATTAACCTGCACAAGTAGTCCCATTTCCTAGACATGATGAACTTGGTTTTCAACAGCGAGTTCAGCTTTAGACTTACTTATCTTGCAAATAAACAACAAATGTACTTTCTTTTGCTCTAAGGAAAGAAACTCAGAATGAAGTACTAGTGCAAAGGACAAAAAAAGGTCCTGACAATGATCAGCAGTGAGTTAAACTCCATAATAATGAATGCACAGTGAATTACTCAGAATAAAAGCTGCAACTTCAATTACACAAAGAGTAAAGTATCTATGAACATTTAAAGCAGCACTTCCCCAAGACAGAGAAAAGTGGGTGGGAGGAGGACTCTCTCTCTCTGCATTTAGGTGAGGGGGATTTGTGCTCCTTCTCATTGCTTAGTTCAACCCCCAGTTGTAGATCCTTATCTTTTGTGGGGCAATAAACACATTATTCCATTGCAAACCATTATTTACAGTATATCAATATAATTTTATTACCTATTTTATTTCTTTTATGAAAGTATGCTTTGGGAGAAAGTAACCTTTAGAGGCAGGATATTAAAGACCTATAAAAATTTTAATGTAAAAATTAAAATGGATTTTCATTAGTAAAACTCACATTTCACTATAAATTATTCAGAGAAGCATTGACTAACAATAAATTATACATATGTAGATGAAAGATACATTTTACTTCTGAGATAACATTTTCTTCATTTTATTGTATTGTTCATATAAAGAAACTTCATTTTATTGGTGTACTAATCTTTGGTACAGCAGGGATAAATTATGGCTTGTGCTATGAGTATTTTTAAATACAAGGTTTGTATAAATATATCCATAAATATCACGTTATGTATACACACACACACACACTTTTGAGGGCACTCACACAAGTTCCTCTTCTGTTGCTTCTTTCACTCTATCCATCTTTATGGAGAAAAGGGTGTGTCTTTCTCCTGACCAGTGCTGCAGGCCCACTCTGCAAGTCTTGCCAGCCAGTTCTGAGCTTGAGCTAATCAGTCACTTTCAGTGCCTCATCAAAGGAGGGGTCAGGGCCGGCTTTAGGCCAATTCCACCAATTCCCCCGAATTGGGCCCCGCGCCTAAGAGGGCCCCGCGCCCAGTGGCAGGGCTGCCGGGGTGGGGGCAAGTGGCCGAGAATCCCTTCCCTGGCTAGAGGCTCCTTTTTAATTTTTACTCACCCGGCAGCGCTCCGGGTCTTCGGCGACACTTCAGCAGCAGGTCCTTCACTCGCTCTGGGTCTTCGGCAGCACTTCAGCAGCAGGTCCTTCAGTGCCACCAAAGACCCGGAGCGAGTGAAGGACAAACCGCCGAAGACTACGAGTGCCGCCCGGTGAGTACAAGCCCAAGATGTTTTTTACGTGTTTTTTCTTTTTTCAGTCATCCTTGCCGGGGCCCCGTCAAAACTGTTCGAATCGGGCCCCGCACTTCCTAAAGCCGGCTCTGGGTCTGTAGGTCCTGTTCTGGTGGCAGCTGTCAGTCAGGATTAGCCAACTCTAAAGAGGATTATCTCAATGCGGGGTTGCAATAAGGGCAGTAGAAAAGAAAGCTCTGTTTAGGTGAAAACACCACTAGAGGTATGTAATAGTCTTGCAGAAGGCCAGCACAGGGAAAGATTGAAATCCTGTGCCGAGAGATTGTTGCTTTTCTCAACTAGGCCTTTCCTATTAAGCCCACTGTAGAGGTGGTCCCTTTTCCTCTCCCCTGTCAGAAGGTGAAATGTGTAGCTTCCCATGATACAGCTTGCTCAGTCAGATCCTTCTCTGTTTTCTGGGAGCCCTTTGTCAGTGGCCCAGAAACAGGGTTCTGGCCCACTGCACTACTCAAACAGACTTGGAGGAGGATGAAGAAACTGTTCTCAGAAACAGATGCAGACCCTTTTGACTCCTCCACATGGTTTCTGCAGGAGAATGGAATATCTTCATTAAATCTGTAGACTATTATGGAAAAGGGGGACATAGTCATCCTCTTTCTGGATGTTTTCAATGGAGAGAGAACCTTTCAAGATAAAAAATTAGGTTTCAGATGCTTGTAAGGAGTTGTTGGGATTTTCCAGATACTAATGTGGCTTTTCCTAAAACACTCAGTAAGCATTACAGATTGGGCAGGATATTCATGTCCTCATTCTGTGTGTGGTAGTTTGTACAAAATCCTCTTCATTTCATTTTCTACTGTCATTATGATAGCAATAGTATTGGTTTGTATAATAAGATCAAGAATTAAGGTCACGTAGACAAACCATGCACAGAAATGAGAGCAAAGCACCTCGTAAGTAATAACTCACTTTTGTTTGCATGTTTAACCATCTGCAGAAAATAACACTCGTACACAACCCTTTCTTTCTCCTCTGTAAGTGCTACCAACGACCTCAGGAGAACACCTGTTCTCACAACCTTTTTTCCTCTACCGGTGAAACCAACGACCTCAAACCAACATCCTGTATCCTGAAAGAAACCCACAATAACATATTATTAATACATTAACAGCGCCATCCTTTGGAATAAAAATATTCATACGTTACAGGGTTCGGATGGTAACATACAATTTACAAGGGCAAAGTTCAAGTGGAATATGATGTCATCAAACCTCTGAGATGTGTCTCTGACATTATTAACAATTTTCTTATGTTTAATTTTTGCTGAATCATGTACAATTTTACAGAAATGTTCATAACAGTGAGATATTACTTTCCTCACTAGCTTTGAGTAGCCCAGACCACATCTGTCAGAATATATGTAAGCTTGTTCTTCCATTCTCCCTCTTTATGAGCCGTTTGGCCAAATCAGAAGTACAAGTTATACACAAGCAAAGTATTTAGACATTCAGATATGATACAAAAGTATAAAACCCAAGCATACATCATGTAGAATTTATGCTCATTTATGATAGTGCGAAGTTATGGCAGGTAGGAGGCTTCCAGGCCACAAAGCAGCTGTAACTTCCCTTCATCAGAGTGGTTGCACCAATGAGCAGCAGAGGGCTTGGATGGGCCCTTGGGCACTATAAAAGAGAATCACAGCTTTCTTCATCTTCCTTTAAAAAAAAAAGTCCCTAGTCCTTTTTCTTTCAAAAAGACCGTGGAAAACATAAATGGGTGGATTTTTGGCAGGGGTAGAAGGAATGTGTGGTAGCGATAGATTTTATTTTATTTGTTTATTTATTTATTTTAGAGGAGGGGGAAGACAGGAGAATGTTTCACAAAGTTGCATGTATCTCTAAGGCAGAGGATTTTTGAAGGATCCCTTGTTAAAATTTTGTCACCAGCTGGATGAACATGATGATCCCGAACTAATTTCTGCATTCACCTGCATCATCTAGAAATTAATATAATTGTTAGACTAATGTTAATTAGTTAATATAATTGTTAGATTAATGACTGGTGAACTATCACAGAAATGTCCAAATGGAATTTTCCCCTGAATGAGTTTACCATATTTCAACATTGTGGCTAAAATAAGCACTCTGATAAGAAAGATTGATGTTTAAGAATTTTGATGGGTCAAATTTTCAATATTCAAACTGAGATTTTTCCTGCAGTCAGCAGCATATAATGAATAAGTGTACCGACTTTTAAGATTGTAGTTCACTTGTCAATATGAAAATTAGATGTTCAAATCAGTAAATTACCCTGTAATAAGCCTGTATATTATATTAAATAATACAACAGAAAGCTTGGAAAATCAATGAAGAGTTTGGAAAGTCTGTCAAGGAGATATCTGATCTACAGAAATGTTGAAATCTAACAAATATGATCTATTTCATTATTTAACACTACACCTTTTATTTTTAAAGTTATCTACCTGTTTGAAGCATTATCTGGGAAGCCATTAGGCGATGGGAAGCCTCTTACCCACAAGGTAATGTACATACTGTAATTTCACCTTTCAAACTGCATCTTTTATCTAGGAAGAAAGAAGTAACTATTAGGGGGTTAATATGATACTTAATAGAAAATATTTTGACAAATCTAATTCTTTTATAATACAGCACAAATTAGACTGATGTATATACTGTGTTGATATACACAGTTGTAGAGTACAGATTGGAAACCTTGGCTTTGTATAATGTTATATTTCTCACATCCCCAGGAGATCAAAGTGAGCTTCAGGAGAGTTTCAGAGGAATAGTGCTAAGGGAGAACTACAGTCTGTCATATGTTTCAGTGAAGCTGACCACTTGAATTCTCTCTAGTCTCACTCCAAAGCCACTTGATTAGCATCTGCTTAGCTCAACATTGAAGTCTTTTGCACTATTTCTTTGTTCTGCTGTCAGAAGAGAGGAAAGAAGAAATGGTGCTGTTGGTCTCCATGCACAGTCTTTCTCTTTGTCTCCTCTTAAAGAGTGGTTGAACAGAAGATAGGGTTACCATACGTCCGTTTTTTCCCGGACATGTCCGGCTTTTCGGCAATCAAACCCCCGTCCGGGGGGAATTGCCAAAAAGTTGAACATGTCCGGGAAAAATACCGGCCGGGCACTTCCTCTCCCGCAGCTGCTCTGCTCCTCCCCGGACTCAGACTTCGGCTCTGTTTAAGAGCCAAGCTGCCCGAGCCAGCGCTACCGGCTTCGGGCAGCCCCCATGCCTCCGGACCCTGCGCCGCCGGAGCAGAGCAGCTGCGGGAGAGGAGGTGCCTGTCCGGTATTTTTCCCGGACATGTTCGGCTTTTTAGCATTGTCCGGGAAAAACCGGATGTATGGTAACCCTATCTTCTGTTCAACCACTCTTTAAGAGGAGACAAAGAGAAAGACTGTGCATGGAGACCAACAGCACCATTTCTTCTTTCCTCTCTTCTGACAGCAGAACAAAGAAATAGTGCAAAAGACTTCAATGTTGAGCTAAGCAGATGCTAATCAAGTGGCTTTGGAGTGAGACTAGAGA